TGTGCTTCTTGGTTATCGCAATAAATTGTTAATTTGGATTTATTGCTTCTTAAGAGGTCATCAAAAAGTTCTAGGAGGTGTAGAGCTTCTTTAGTAGGGTCTGATAATGCCATATATTTGGCCTCGGTGCTCAATAGGGCAACCATGTGTTGTTTTCTTGATTCCCATGAGATTGGTCCACCAGCGAGCTTAAAAATGTATCCTGAGAAGGAATGACGATTGTCTATTGATGCTCCCCACTCAGATTCTGTGAATCCAGTAAGTCACTCTCCAGTTGTCTCAAATGTTAGGCCATGATTGGTCATCCCTCTTAGATATTGAAGAATATGTTTCACTGCAGTCCAGTGTGTTTGGTCATGTTGGGTGTTATACTGGCTCAGTTTGCTTACTGCATGTGCAATGTCTGGCCTGGTGCAATAGAAAGATAAAGAAGACAACCAATTAGTTTTTGGAATGGAAATTGCTTCATTTCCTGAACTGATGAGTTTTCAGGCCTGTGAAGTTTGGAGCTTGGGACAAGAGGAGTTGCAACTGGTTTTGATTTTTCCGTCGAGAAATGTTCCAAGATTTCCTCAGTGTATCTCTTTTGGCACATTTGGATTATCGTCTTCCCCTCCTTTTCTCGCTGGAAGAATTCAATGCCCAAGCAATAGTGGGTTGTCCCAAGTCTTTCATATCAAATTTGGACATGAGAGTCTTCTTTAGTGTGGTCTGTTTGATTTTGTCACGTGAGACAATTATGAGGTTATCGACATAAATGATGACAAAGGTCAAGTTGTTCTGTTCATTTCAAACATAAATGCAGGGGTCAAAGTTCAATGGTCTTAAACCCAGTTGTTTATCTAGTCATTTATACCATAGGTGGCTTGCTTGTCGTAGACCATAGAGGGCCTTGTTAAGTTGACAGACTTTGTTGCCTTCTTGGATAGATTGCAGCATTTGTTCTGCTTTGGTTCAAGTCTATCCCGACGAGTTTTTTAATTATATCTTCTAGGATTATTTCGATCTGGTCTGGAAGCTGCATGAAAATCTCTGGTCTATGTTTCATTAAGGAACACTGTTTTCACGTCCAATTGGTCAATGAGTAAATATTGTTGGGCAACAATGGCCAGTACAGTTTAAATGGAGTTGATCCTTGCAACTGGTGCAAAGGTTTCATGAAAATTGATTCCAGGGCATTGAGTGTAACCTTTTGCTACTAATCTCGCCTTTCGTCTTTTAAGAGTCTATCTGCATTGTATTTGTTGCAAAGGACGATACGGCAACCTACAATGTCTCTGTCAAGAGGACAGGTGGTGATGTGCCATGTGTCGTTTTCGATGATGGAGATGAACTCGCTTCTGATTGTCTCTCTACATTGTTGAGCAAATGAGCTTGAGAGGGCATCCTCAATGGAGATTTTTGTGTTGAATGCCATTTCCTGGATGACAGCAGCAAATCCACTTTTATCATTCCCTTGTTGGACGTTTTCTCAGTTTAGTTCCTGATTCTGTAAATGTGGAACTTTGGTTTGGTGTTGCAAAATCGAATTGGTCATCATTATGTTAAAACATTTGCAAGATCTACCTTTTAAGCCAGTTTTGATTAGGCATGGGTGACTTGGAACCCTCCTTAATTTGTTATCCCTGGAGATTTTATTTCCATCGTCATCTTGTTGGATAGTGTGACAGATGTTCTCTTCCCCTTGTTCAACGGTTAGGGATGGAGGTTTAGTTAACTCAGTGATTACTTCGTGGCAATGAGCTTCATTTTCTTGTGATGAAAATCTCCTGAGATGAATTCCTCAAAGTCGTCATTCGAGGTCTTCAGCTCAAGGAATTTGACATCTCAAGTCGCAACCACCATTTTCTGAGTTGGCATCCAAATTCGATAGGCTTTGGATTATCCAGAATATCCAATGAATATGCCTTTTTCACAGCAAGGATCAAATTTACCGATAGTTGGGTCCTTATTGAGTACAAACTACCAAAGGTTCGAAAGTGAGAAATTTTGCAATCCCTGCCATTCACAGCTTTGTAGGTGTATTATTGTTTAAAGCTCTAGAAGGACAGCGATTCAGGATAAAATTTGCAGTGTAGATGGCTTCAGTCCAAAAGGAGGCCTTGAGTCCTGACTGAATTAGCATACATCATGCCATCTCGATTAATGTTTGATTCTTTCTTTCAGCCACTCCATTTTATTGTGGAGTATGGGGGACAGTTAAACGTCGCTTTATCCCCATTCTTTCAAATATTCGTCAAATTCTTTGTTGCAATATTCGGTTCCATTGTCAGATTAAAGACATTTGATTTTCATGCTGAACTGTGTCTCTAGAAGGTTCTTTACTTTTTTAAAGATGTTCAGTATATCACTTTTGTTGCAAAGAAAATGTACTTCACACTATCGAGATCGGTCATCTATGAAGACAGCAAAATATCTAGTGCTTGACATAGATTGAATTCGAGTCGGACCGCAGATATCAGTGTGTATGATTTCAAGTGTTTTGGAAGTTCATTAGTTGTTTGCTAAGGGAAATGGATTTTTCACCATTTTTGCTCTGAGGCATGTTTCACATGGGGATAAGCAATCACCAGATGGGATTTGAATCCCAAGGCTAACAATATCCTCCTTAGGCTCTTTTGATTAAGATGACCTAGGCATTCATGCCAATCCATTAGGATGGACTTAGATTGAGCAATGGCAGCAACTGAATTCCATTTATGAATATGGTAGAGTTTGTTCACTCAATCAGCAGTAGCAACAACATTGTTGTTTTGATCCATGATAAATGCAACCTGTTTGCGGAATGAAACTTCATAGCCTTTATTACAAATCTTACTTACAGACATGAGATTTGTTCGAAGGTCAGGAACCAGGAGAGTGTCAGATAAGTTAAGTACTCATACTGCTGATTCATCATCAAGCGCTAGTTGCACTAAGCCAATTACTTCGATCTTTGCAGTGTTTTCTTTGCTGGCTAGGTTCAAGGTTCATCTGTCGGGCTTGATTTCGGTAAAATCATTCCTATTAGCACACATGTGGAAAGATGCGCCACTATCGAGACACCATTTATCCCTTTTGGTTGATCCTGATTGGTTTTGTAAGTTAACTTTTACATTTTTTGCTAGAGGGGTAAATTTGTTTGTGTTTTCAACTTGAAAGCTTGAATCAATTTTTATGCCATGGAAGCATTCTTCAATGGCTTTACCAGCACGCTCACTACTTTTGGGTTTGTAGCGGCAGTTAGAAGACTTGTGATTTCAACAACCGCAGTATTCACATTTTGATTCACTTGGATTTGTTTTCTTGAATTTGAATGGAGTTATGCCTTTTGGATTCCAACGACCATCTTTGTTTTTGAAGTATTTCTTCTTTTCAGCATGCATGGCATTGGGTACTGCATTGATCTTTTTGACTTTTCGAGATGAGTGTTCTTCAAGGATTTTCACTTTAAGGCCATCTGGATTTGGCAGATTGTCGTGTGATTCAATGCACAACGAAAGTTTTCATAGGATGACGGAAGGCTATATAATAACATTATAGTGAGAAGATCGTCGTTGATGTTAACATTTAAATCGTGAAGCTTATCGACAGCATCAAAAAATCTGTTGAGGTGGTCTCTGGTATCATCAGGCTCATCCATCTTATGTAGTATGAGCTGTTTGAGAAGTGTGGCCTTGCATGCAGGACCTTCAGATTGGTAAATCAATTCCAATTTGTTCCAAATCTCCAAAGCAGTCTTGCATCCTTTGACTTGTTTTAGTTCACTGGAACTGATTGTGAGAATTAAGTCAGCCTGGGCCTTGGAATCATCTTCGTCCCATGTGGCTGCTTTTTCCTAATCATCAATGGGTCCATTTTTAACTAAAATAGCTTTTGCTTGGATTTTCCACGTGTCGTAGTTATCTTTCTTTAGAGGTTTGATTTTGATCGTAGTTGTCATTATTAAATATTATTGTAAGCAACTGGAAAATCATTATATTGTCACTAGTAATTTCCCACAAAAAATGAGTTCTGTTTAAATCCATTGCCACATTTTTGTTTGCTAGCTTAATCAGAAGTTGACTTCTCGATACATGATTGTAACTATCTTCATGGAATTTTATAAGAAAGGATTCATACCTTTGCTCTCTGTTGGTTCTTTGAGTTTCGTAGTGATCGGATTTGTGGAGTGTGAGAAATAGTCCAAAAAAAAAAATCACTATGTGCTGCAGTTTTGTTAATTACACTTCTTCTTTGGGAATTTTCTTTTATTCCCCTCCAGAAGGCTCCTCCTGGGCCCATAACCTGTTGTAATAAATGCAGGATGTGGCAGCAGAGTAAAGTAAAAAGCAAACTGCTTGGTTTGAACACAGAGTTTAATCTAAGCTGTATATACTACACATACCAAAACGAAGGGAGGCAAGGCAGAAGGTACAAGAATCTAGTTACATAAACAAAGGTCTAGACATCATCTGGAATGTCCTTGGGAGAGTGTCATGATACTCTCACCAACAGTTTTTTTCATAAAATTTGATATTTTTATTTGCTTACATTTTCTCATCTTTAAAAATTTAATGTGGTAATTTTTCATTTAATCTTTAAAATAAAGCACAGTGATAGTCTTTCAGGTTTATTTAGAGCACTAATATCAATGACGGTGATACCAGTTTTTAGGAAAGCTAGAATAGGAAGCTAGGACAAAAAAAAAACTATATTTCCCATTAAAAAAATGGGTGAATGATACAAAACATTGAAAATTTCAATATTCTAAAATCTGTAGGCAAATATGAGACAATACATATGTTTGCTTGAATAAAAAATATTGAATAATGGGATTTGTACTTATAAATTGTGACATTTTGTCCAGGTATGTTCTTCAACAGTGTTAGAGCAAAACTGTGTTGTATGGGGATATCCCCAATTCTCAAACATTGTTGTAGGAATGCCATGTTGTATAAGGAATACCCATACTTTGATGTATAAAAATTCAACCATTAAAACTTCATACAGTAAAATTAAACAGTATGAAAGATAATTACCCAGTTATCAAAGGCTCATGCAATCTTTTGTAATAATAACCAGCATTTGGTAATCTTCCTGTAGGCAGTGCTTCTGTGGCTGCAACAGTCAACTGTTGGCATTGGCATTTATTTCGATCCTAATCAATATTATCATAACTACATAAATATTAAAGAAATCCCCTAAAATTTATAGTAAAGTATTATATAAGCAACTTTACTTGACAGTTATCATCACAATCACATCCACAAAGGAATTCTTCATCCAAATTCAAATTTACACCTTTAGCTGGAAATCTTGTACTAGAATATTCTACATATGGTGGATATTCTCTATTTATACTATTGATGCATGGAACAGGAATTGGTTCCTTCCCCTGAGTAATATCTTTGATTTGACAGTTTATCTGTAAAATAAAATTAGTTTTATAATAATAAATTTCATATACAAGTAAAATTAACAAATACTTACAACTGAAGGAACAAATTCTGCAGATGTATTCACATAACTATCGAAACAAAACAAATCAACCATTAATTTTGATTTTGTTTCCATCAAGTAGCGATGAACTTCAACTATATTTCTTAATCGCCTTCCACAAGGGCCTTGATAAAATACTATTCGTCTATTTCCGGCACGATGTTTTGCAATTTGTCTGTATAAATTTTCATATTTTAATTTATTCTGTAAATAAGTAACAAAATTTAAATTGGCAGAGTTTAGTTACCTTTCCCATCCTGTAAGAATCGGAATCCATAATGGATTTTCACTTTTATGTAATTTTTCTAAATTTTCTTCTTTAAGGCATTCTGGACAACACGTATGGGGAACATAAATAATCTTCTGACGCTGTATCTTACAAGTTTCTCTTTGGCCAGATTGTGAGGTGATGGTCAATGTTGACATAGCTGAAAAATTTTCCAAATAAAATTACATAAAATACTGTTTCGAATAATTTTTAAACAATTATGTTAATTATAAATATGGGCTTGAAATAAACTCTATTTACAATATATTTTTATATACAATACAAAAGCTATTTATAGTAATCTCATGCAGAAAAGTCATTTTAAAAAAATAAAATGTATAAAAAAATTTTTGATGCTGCCAATATTTCTAACATGTCATTAACTTGGAAAATCTCTTTATGCTTGGTCATTGTCATTTTATATTTTCATAAAATATATATTCAAATATTCCTTTCAACTTTTAATTAGATAATATAAATAATTATTATTATTATGTCCATCCCATAAAGCCTGGTTCCTACAAACCTCCTATGTATCAGTTGATTTATCTAAGCTGATAATTTTATCTACCAACCCCAAACAAATCTTTGTATTTAATTAATAGTAATTAATTTCCTATTAATTAAATGGTAAAAACCATTTAATTAATAGGAAAAAAAGTATTTCCTATTAATAAAATGGTTGCATAAGTGTGTAGGCAAATCATGTGGGACTACTTAGGGTTAAGTACAAATTTATGAAAAATTTTATTTTACACAATATCTGCTGACATGCAATCCTTGCATAAAAAAGACCATACTATCATATACAGTATTAATTTTATAGTTTTCTGAAGTGATCTATTATTATTGCTTATTGTAACTTTACTGTTTAAGAGAATAGACTTACCATTTAACAGAATTGTTTAACTTAAGAAAGTGATATTGAAAAGGTTAACTTAATATATAATTCAAAAATTGCAATTTAAAAAAAAAAATTAATGTTAAAAATATATTAACAGCAAAATGTTTTTAAAAATGTTTCTTAATTATTGTAAGAATTAAACTGGAAAGCATTTTGATGATCTTGATCAAAATATTTTAATTTCAGTTCTTAATATACCTATCTCAAAAGTTATTTACACACCATTGAATGAGATCTCCTGAGGTAGTTGAGTAGTCGATTTTTTTGCCACATTACGAGATCCTAATTCTGGAAGTGCAGATGTATGCTTTCTAGCTACCTGAGGTCTGGAGTATGCTTGAATTAATTTATTATTTGTATCTGTTGATTCGATATTTGTTACTGAAACAAAATATTTTAGAAGTTTGAAATCAATAATTTTTTTTTTAAATTATAAATTATCCTTACTTTGATGAGATGTTGGTTCTTCTGTTCCTCTAGTATATTCCACATATGGTTGATGTTTTTTTTTGGTCACTACATTATGCCTTCGATTTTTACCACTCAAACGATTTGCTTGAGCAGCAGCCTACAAATTTGAGTAAATGTAATATTAAATTTATATTTTTAAAATAAATGAAAAACTAAATTTAATATAAACATTCTATTACTAATTCATCATATAATGGAGCAAGACGCGTTGATCCTCTATAAATCCATTCTGTTCTGTGATCGGCATGGAAAACCATTTTGACTAGACTTGCATCCACTTCTAACACTCTAGCTATCCACCTAATAAAATAAAATAAAAAAAAAACATTTTTTAAACATATTTTTATAAATGTCTCTATTAAATCAATAATTTAACAAAACTATCAGTTATACTTACCATTGTCCATTCCATTCAGTCCTCACTATTTGACCAGGCTGTAATTTTACCATTGGACGCTATTTGAAAAGAGAAAGTAAGTAGAAAATTCAAAATTTTTTATTTTTTTAATAACAAAATATCCTATTATCATATACCATCTTTAATAAAACCAAACTAATGAAGAAAAACAAACATAAGCTTATTTATCCTTTAATATTACTAAAATATAATAATTACAAAGATTATGAAAAATTTCTTTGTATACATCATTTTAAACAGTAGAATAAATTAATGGCTGGTATTCTATTAAAACATTAATGACTTATGGACACACATTGAATAGGATTCTTTTCCTGTAGATATGAAAAGAATACTGTTCAATGTCATATTTAATTTCCAGCGCTATTAAAAATGAATATATATATGTTACTGTGGATGACCGATATCTGGCGAATATCAACACTCTCCGGTGAATGTCAGCATTCACACAGTCGTTTTGTGTACGCACGAAATATTTGCTAAATATCATTATTTTTCACTTACACCAGCAAATGTCGACATTCAGCATGCACTGATGGTGAATGTTGAATAAAAATATTTTTATTACGTTAAGACAAAAATGCAACTTTTTATGTCAAAATAGGAGAAAGCTTAAGTAACAGCACATGTAAATAAACTGTTGAACCTAAAACGAACAGTATATTCTTAATCAGAAAAGAAAACAATACAATAATAAACTTACACATAAATTATGAGATTAATGTTATACAATCTTATTTATTGCAACAACTAAACTGCTGTGACACTTTGAATTGCACAAGAGTTCTTTGCTTTTAAAACTGCATTTATTCGTGCAACACTTCTTTTTGCAACGACAGCGCGTATAGCCTTGCCCTCCACTTTTCGAATTAGCTGCAGCTGCTTCTCTCAGCAATATTTCTTGAGAAGAAATCTCATCTACAGAAAGTAACTTTACAAATTACGAACTGATTACGTTATTATGTGATTACGAGCTGATCAGTTAATGATATCTTTTATTCATATATCGCCGACACCTTACCGAGAACCCCTCTCATCCTCTGCTACTTGATCTGACAAACCGATCCCCACCTCACGGGATCAAAAGAACAAAAACACCATCCAGTGACAAAGTGGGCAGTTTCCACCAAACCACTGCTGGAAAAAGAGGTACGACCGTGTTCTACCTCCGGTTACCCACAAAGTATTTGGCGACAGACTGTCGCCTCTCTGTCGACATCAACCTCCACGAAAGCTTATCTGTACATGTTGACATACACTGGTGATTGTTCAAACGTATAATAACAGCGAGGTTGAGGCCAAAGTTTTAAACGTGAATATGTGTACATTGGACTTTCAACGCCGCTTTCCTGTAAGCCTAGAAGTTTGACAATAGTGTTTGAAATGTAGAGCATGACTCCTCTGACTATCCAAACGCCATTTCATACTTCTAGGCTTACAGGAAAGCAGCGCTGAACATCCGACATACACATATTCGTGTTTAAAACTTCAGCCTCAACCTCGCTAACATAACCAAATATTTGGTCTTTCACCGACGTATTTTGTATGTGTCGACATTCTCTAATTTCGGTCTTTCACAGTAACATATATATATATATTCATTCTTTGGATATTTGTATAGGATATAGCATAAAACCTAAAAAATCTTTATTCTTTTTTTTATCATCACTTCACAATTTTTAAGAACTAATTCATTAATATATACATTAGAGATAGTCAAGAGCAACCTTTGAAAATGGCAATGATTGTTACATTGTGATGTTAATGGTGTTATGACAATACTATATCTTAGTGTTATTAATTAGGTTAAGGTGTTATTAGTTTGATGTGATTCTTTTGCCTATTCAAACAAATTATTTTTATCATTTTTTGAAAAGGATAGTAATGTGATCTAAACTTCTCTCTCAAGATCGCTGAAGGATCAGATGTATTGCATATGCCTTGCCATTGATGTTAGAGAACCACATGTAGCTCAACCACTGATGGAATTTAACATCAATGATGTCTTATAATTAATATATTTTAATAAATTTTACTGTATTTTATATATTTTCACTCACATTTATACATAACTGTAAGATATTAATTAATTAATAGTAATTATTTCAAGACTATATATACTTTTTTTTGGAGCTTCCTCACCAGTTGTAGCTTTATTGTTAATCTGATTAGTTGCAAGACCATTCTGTACTACAATGCCATTAACCGAAGTCTGTACTTGTCCTGTACTTATCATATTATGTACAGGTGTAGTGGTTGTCAATTCAATCACAGTTTTGACCACTTCCACTTTTTCCAATCCAGGTTCTGCCTTCTCTGATATAACAGTAGGTACTACAGCCACTTCTCGGATTTTCTTAACTTCTGCTTTCTCAATTATTGGAGATAAATCAGTAGCGTTAACAATACTGACATTATCTGGCACTTCATGCTTTTTACTTAAACTGTCTTCTTAAATGTGTAACTTACTGTTTACTTAATGTTTACTTAACTTACTGTTTACTAAATGTTTACTTAAACTGTTCTTAAATGTGTAAGCGTCAATGATGGCCCGTTCAATTAAGTGAGGAAACATTTGCTTATGATCTCCAACAAAAAAGGTGTCTGGCATGTACGAAAGTTTTTCAGAATATTGGTTTGCCAAATTCAATGGAGAAGTCACTTTATCTGTAATAATATAGTGCATGAATGGAGCACAACTTGTACCAGGATATCCCAACCACATAACTTGTATTGGGGCAGGTCTAAGAGCGAAGATTTCATTACAAGCTCCTTTAATATAGCCATTCATGTTTACCAAGATATGAATTCCATCTAAATATATATGATCTGCTGCTTTTCCATTGCAAGGAACCTGAGACAAATCAACAAAATGCTCTGTTTCATTGGCAATTTTTGAACGGAATGTAGTTCCATCATCAGGACTTAATGCATAGCAGAAAATTTTTACTTTATCTCTATTATGCATTCCAGGGACACTTTGCATTAAATGAGAAGTTGGATGATTACCAAAAACTGAACTAACATAGCCTATTCTAAGCCAACCATTACTAGTAGCTAGGTCTTTAGGATGTTAATAAGGTGGTTTATGTAATACCTGAATCTTTTCTAAGCACAAATTTGCATGACGAGCAGCAATAGCTTTGCGAAAATCATGTGACAATGGATATAACATGCTATGGTGAGGATGAACAGATGGTAACCTATTTTTATCCAATTGATCAGCAACAATTGCTACCAATTTCTTCATTCTTAACTCATAATCGGTCCAATCACAAACAATCTGGAGGCAATGGGCTAAATTACAATAGGCATCAGGAAAGTCCGGTTTCAATTTCAGAGCTGTGCGATATGACTGAACAGCTTCAGGAATGTTTCCAGAATCTTTATGAATAGAGGCTAGATTGCTGTGTGCATCAGCAAATGCAGGATTAATTTGTATAGCTCGAGTATAACATTGTAGAGCACCCTGTATATCTCCCATTTCCTTTAATGTATTCCCCATATTAGAATAAGCATCAGCAAATGTTGGTAAATCCTAATCGCTTCTTTATAATGCATAAGAGCATCATTAAGTTTTCCTTGTTGCTGTAGAACACTTGCCAAATTTGAATGTGCAGCTGCAAACTCTGGAAATACATCTAAAGCTCTTAAGTATAAACGAGTAGCTTCTTCTATAAAACCTTGCTCTCTCTTGATATTATCAATAGCTAGACCATTTAAAGAATCTGCATGTGTTGGACAAAGACGCAGTGCAGTATTGTAGCATTCCTCTGCTTTTACCACTAGGCCTTTTTCTTTAAGAGCATTTGCAAGATTACAATAAGCATCAGGAAAATTATGTTGCAATTCAATAGCTCTTCTGTAGGTGTCTATGGCTAAATCAATCAATCCTTGTTCATAATATACACAAGCAAGATTTCCATGAACCACAGCATTATTGGGACTTAAATTTAATGCTCTTAAGTAAGCAGCAACAGCTCTGTGAAATACTCTAGCTTCTTTTAAGACATTTCCTAAGTTTATATAGGCATCCAAAAAATTAGGATCTAAAGCAACAGCCTTTTCAAAATGATGTATGGCTAACCATATTTCTCCCTGAGCATTAAATTAAAAACACATCCAAGATTGCTCCAGGCAACAGCAAAGGTAGGACAGGTTTCAATTGCCTTCAAGTAGCGTGCATTTGCTTCATCAAGACGACCTAAAGCTTTCAAGAGATTACCTAAATCACTGCGAACGCAATATAAATCTGGATTATATTGTAGTGCTGATACATAAGCTTGTACAGCTTGTTCCATATCACCTGCAGCAACAAGAGCAGCTGCCAAATTGATATAACCATCAATAAAATCTGCCTTGAGCCGCACAGCATGGTGATAATTCTCCAAAGCCTCCTGTAATTGTCCTCGTTCCTTATAGACATTTCCCAAGTTTGAATAGGCTTCTGCCAACAATGGATTCTGTTTGATTGCTAATGTACTGAAATGTGCAGATTTATCTAATCGACGACATTGAAAATGTATAGAACTTAATAATAAAAGCACTCCAGTATTTGTTGGATCCTGTCTCCATAATTGCGTGCAATGACGCTCAGCACTCTCATAGTCACCTGCCTGATATTCTCTGTGTGCCAATTCCCCCAAACTCTGAAATGCTGCAGCAACTGCAGTGTTGGGCATATCATTTGGTCTACTTCTTTTATTGCCATTTACATTAGACGTCTCTGTTATGATTGCAGCCATTTCTTCTTAGGAAAATCGAAACTGTCAAGTCTTTTCTAAGGAACAAAAATTCGCTACAAGTAAAATCTTAGAGAATGTCTTTAGTCCCGTTCGCCGAACGACGTCATCATTTTTGCGCACGAATTTATTGGGTGTCAAGGGCCTTATTTCAAGACTAAAATAAAATGAATCTGTATGTTAATTAATAAACTTTTTTTATAAACTACAATTTTGAAAAATACAAGATAGCTAATACTCAAATTTACTTTCATTGTTTTATTAAAAATGTAATTTATAAAGATGTTATTTATTTTTACAGAATTAAATATTTTGCTATTTATTTTATATAATTATTTAAAAGTATCACAAAATTTTAAACTTACTTCAGGATATTGTTGAAGATAACTTTTAATGAATTCTTTGGAATCAGGATGTATATCTTCCCACACTTCTTTCCCTGATGAGAAATTTATTCTGATTATTTATATATTTATATTTAATATTATAAATTTCAGAACATATTACAAATACACTTACTTGATTCACAGACTAAATATACTTCATTATGTTTCACATACTGTGCATAGCCATCATCAAAGAAAACAAGATACCTACATGAAAAAGTGTTATAAATTCTGAACTTTTTCTATTAATTTTGACAGAACAATTTCCAAAAACATTTGGGAAATTTTTATTATACATAGTAATTAGTAGCAGTATACAAGAACAATATTATGACTCTGGAAAATTGTAAATAATTTGTTATATAACTATATAGAAAATATTTACATACATATAGAAGGTACAGTACCTGTATCTATTCATTAGTTTAGGTGGTTCTGCAATAACACCTGCATACAAAGATGATCTAGGACTCCAATGTTCATCTCTATAATGTGCTAGAAATACATAAAAGCAAAATAATTATTATATTAGTTACAAATATTTTTAAAAATAAATTTAAAACTGGCTTATAAAGACAACTTCAACTATCACAAAAAGTTTATTCATTAAAAGATTTTGGATTGAATTGATTTTTATGAAAATGTTATAAATATTTATTGATAAATAATTTCTGATAAAAACATTTCAATTATAAAGTTTGTATCTTACCAACAACTCTTGAGCCAACTGAAAGAATTACATCAGGAGGTTGAAAATATGCTAGATGTTTTGGTAAATAAGCACGATTAGAATTTGCTTTTCCCATGTCAAACTTAATCTTGCAATACTTTTTCCCTAAAATATTTGTTTTGATATTAACAATTCTTGCTCTTTGCCAAACACCCAAATAACTTGCTCTCATAGCATATACTCTCATGCCAACTGATAGTTCTCTGAAGAAAAGAAAAATATCTCAAAATGTTTTAAACTAAAATTTTAAATGTCCTGAATAATTAATACATACTTTCTTATTACCGGTCCTATTCCCGGAAGCACAGGTTTTTGGATTTCATACTGTCCTACAATATCTACATCTTTAACAAAATTCTTTGCAGAGTTATTGAGTGTATTCTAAATTAAAAAGAATGATTAAAATTAACAGATATACTTTATAATAAAGCAAGTTAATATATAAAACGAACTTTAATAATTATTTATTGAGAACAACAGTAAAAATTATTTGAATCATATATATATATCACTGAATAATCAATTAATTTACTAATAATAAAATTAATTCATTATATATCTGTGAAAATGGAGTTTCAGACCTATTTGATGACAGCAAATGTAAAATCAAGGTCATATTCCAGTTTCCTGCTCACTACCAGGATGGTAAAATGTTAAGATTTGTCAAAATCCTCTTGTCAGTCCTGACACCAGTTAGGATAAACTAGTCACATCCTAACTCGCAAATTAAATTAAAGTATTTTCCAAGTGGTTTGAAATAACTTCAAAGAATTTATTTAGGAGAGTTTATTTAATAGAATATGTGAGGTTGACAATGGCATTAGGCAATAAGTTAATCATAAATGATAGTTTAGAATATAATGAAAATATTTATTTAAACATCTAACTATAAAATATATACATAACAAATTCTAAAATATAAATGAAACCAATCAAATAAATCACTATACAATATAAATGGAGAGGATCTAATATCTAGCCTCTAAACATTACTTTATTTGAGAGTTTACAATAATTTGTAATTGTTACCTGTTCACATACATCTGAGGTGGTAAAGTTGAGAACACTTAAATAATATCTAGAGATTGAGAACTGGGAGATATGTTGATTGAAAACTTGGGCACTAGGCAAGTGTGCCAAATGAAAGTGAGAACTAAAACACAGCTAAAACATAACTAGAGCACTGACTCGATGGACCACAAATAGTATTACTTGAACATCATGCCATGCTTCTAACATGAGGAAGAAGTCAGACAGTTTTTGCTGATAGTTGAGTGAGACATCATACTCAACTATTGTTTTAGGAGGAACTAACTAATCATTTCTCTCCATGACTCAAAGGAAGTGCTTCCTTTCACAAAGAAAGATAAATTTCCTATCAAGTTGATTTGAAGTAATATTTAAAAATATTAATTTAATAATTTCTTTAAAATATCTTCCCTCAACTTCAGGTTATCACATATTTAATAAATAAATGAGAAAGAATTTTAAAAGTCTATTTACTGATGAGAAATAATTAAAAAATGTTTTAAATATTAATTTCTGTTATTATTTAAAAAGATTAATTATTTCACTTGTAATATCAAAACAACAGCTCCTTTAAATGTTTATTAATTTTGGTGAAACATGTATATATAGAATGTATACAAAATGAAATTTGAATTCTTAAAATTTTATTAATTTGAACAAAGAATGATGAAAAGTAATATAAAACTTTATAGATAATCAGATCATCATTGTAGATATACTATTTTTAAATATCTTATTATTAGCATCAGTGACAGTGCTCCTCTATATAATTTTACATCATCATATACTATAATGTCTAATTATAGTTATAGAGTTATTTATTAATATAAATTACAATGTATAATTGTAATGATAAAATTGCTTTATTTTTCCAATTTTGAGGCTTGAAACCCAGAGTCCTAGACATGTACCTTATGGGCAACCAAGCACTTATTACCATAAAGATTGGCAATATAAACATTTGGTATAAGAGAAAATTTGATAATTTTTTATCTACATAAGGGTAATCCAACTTTTTTCAGTTTCAGTGCAAAACAGACGAAAGATGTTTATTATGTGTATATGGAAAATGTGACATTTTGAATTCTTAAATAACAGAGTATAACTAGATGACATTTTAATAAGAGCAGGAACATTTTAACATTAACTAGCTACTTGGAAAATTTGGCAAATGCAAGAAAGTTTGGTGCCCTCTGGAACTGGTTAACATGATACTGGAGTTATATAAGAAATGCATAATGTTTGAAACCAATGAGAAATGCTTTATTAAGCATAAAAAATTTTAAGCATAATATTAATAAAAGATATTAATAATGATTATATTATTATATTCAGATTAACATAATTACTTAGTATTATTTTTCCTANAGATCTTTTCTTATTACCGGTCCTATTCCCGGAAGCACAGGTTTTTGGATTTCATACTGTCCTACAATATCTACATCTTTAACAAAATTCTTTGCAGAGTTATTGAGTGTATTCTAAATTAAAAAGAATGATTAAAATTAACAGATATACTTTATAATAAAGCAAGTTAATATATAAAACGAACTTTAATAATTATTTATTGAGAACAACAGTAAAAATTATTTGAATCATATATATATATCGCTGAATAATCAATTAATTTACTAATAATAAAATTAATTCATTATATATCTGTGAAAATGGAGTTTCAGACCTATTTGATGACAGCAAATGTAAAATCAAGGTCATATTCCAGTTTCCTGCTCACTACCAGGATGGTAAAATGTTAAGATTTGTCAAAATCCTCTTGTCAGTCCTGACACCAGTTAGGATAAACTAGTCACATCCTAACTCGCAAATTAAATTAAAGTATTTTCCAAGTGGTTTGAAATAACTTCAAAGAATTTATTTAGGAGAGTTTATTTAATAGAATATGTGAGGTTGACAATGGCATTAGGCAATAAGTTAATCATAAATGATAGTTTAGAATATAATGAAAATATTTATTTAAACATCTAACTATAAAATATATACATAACAAATTCTAAAATATAAATGAAACCAATCAAATAAATCACTATACAATATAAATGGAGAGGATCTAATATCTAGCCTCTAAACATTACTTTATTTGAGAGTTTACAATAATTTGTAATTGTTACCTGTTCACATACATCTGAGGTGGTAAAGTTGAGAACACTTAAATAATATCTAGAGATTGAGAACTGGGAGATATGTTGATTGAAAACTTGGGCACTAGGCAAGTGTGCCAAATGAAAGTGAGAACTAAAACACAGCTAAAACATAACTAGAGCACTGACTCGATGGACCACAAATAGTATTACTTGAACATCATGCCATGCTTCTAACATGAGGAAGAAGTCAGACAGTTTTTGCTGATAGTTGAGTGAGACATCATACTCAACTATTGTTTTAGGAGGAACTAACTAATCATTTCTCTCCATGACTCAAAGGAAGTGCTTCCTTTCACAAAGAAAGATAAATTTCCTATCAAGTTGATTTGAAGTAATATT